GGGGGGGGGCAATGGTATCATCGGTCGGCGGTTGATCAAGCCATCCATGCGTTGTGCTCATGTTGAGAGAATGATTCACCCCTCGGTCGAACAGAGGATGATGGTTTGTTTGCAGCGCGTGGGAAAACGCTCCCAAGGCGGAACTGATCTGATTACGGCTGTGTTTTTTTGTTCAGGTTGTGTTTTGGGGGGCGGGCACATTTTGTGATCCTCTATAGCGTCAGGTCGTCTCCTTCACTCAGTGAGAGCCGTAACTTAAGCTTGCCACACCAACATTTCTGCAGCATACACACGTGACGCTTGGCCCCCACACCTCCCGTGTGGCTACCCCGTTACCGCAAGTACCCTGGTACGCTCCTTCTCTGTGTGTGCAGCTCGCCGGCAGAGCGTCTAAATACAGCATGAACTGATGATGGTTGTGAGCAGCTCGTCCATTACAAATGTTTGGGAAACCCTTTTGCTCCTCCCAAGTATCTGCTGGTGCTGCTGGTTAGGTCAACGAGGGGTGTCACCAGGATTCCACCCAATGATCGAGCCACTTCTCCTACCCTGCCTCCGTCATCACTTTCGTTCGTGCACACCACGGCTAAAATGGGAAAAAAGGGTGCATTATGTTTTTGCTTTAAATAGGTGTGGATTTGGTTGTCCGAGGGCCATTGATCGTTCGCTGTGTCAGCGGGATTTTTCATGAGGGATTTTCGGGCCCACCCATCCGCCAATTCTCCACTGAGAAGATGTGCTGACCCGCAAGCTCTGTTTCGCGGTACGGGCGAAGACGTCGTGCTCCTGCTAGTGCTACTCGTAAGCTCCGCTGCGTCCGTTTTCGTGCACGGAGATCCCGTCTGGCCCTATACTCCCGACAAACTGCCCCGGCAGCGAAGGAATCACCCGGCTCATGCAGCAGTACCCTGCTGCTGCCGTATCGAGCTCTGCTGCCGCGTGCGCACCTCACCAACCTGATTGACTTGCGACGCGCCAGTTCCGCGCTGTGGCGTGCATCTTGCGTCGGAGGAGAATAACCAAAAACCTTGTCGAACGTCTTATTTTTCAGCGGCTATTGGCAAACGTGCCTGCTATAGTCTTATCATGTTGCCAAGTTATAGCTCAGGTATTTCTCATATTAGCCAACACTTCATCCACGCAGAGTCCATGGAGGGCACTTTCAAGCAACGCCGCGCGTGTTCCGACATTCTCGCATGTTTTGACTCCAGAAAAGAGCGAGCCGTAAGCAACCTGTTCTTGTACACGCTGCGCCTCTTGCATGGACAAAAACAAACGTCACATTCCAAGGGTGCTCCGTGAATCAGCGAGGTACGTTGCCGTCCCTGAACGGACGCGTCCACGGTGCACCCTCTTGGGGTGGGCCGCAGCACAGCAGCGAACAATTTTGGTCGTTTTCTCGCAAGGAATACCAGAAAAGAAACAAAAGAAAATAATACAATGCCAAAACAATAGATGGACCAAAGCTAACGGGTAAGGCCACCCAATGACAAGGTCGTTCTTCCAGACCAAGGCCGAAACAAGCTCTACTACACCAGGTGCGTGCATCGTACCTATGTACCTATATGGTTGTACTTGCGCGGCGCGGCTTCCATGTACAATGATTCGCGCGTACACAGACAGCAGAACCCGACGAAATTTTCGAGACCTTTCCGAGAACAATCTCTCCAACCCCTGGACGACCGGCCCTCCCCAACCCCCCTTCCTGCGCTGGGGGGGGGGGAGACCGATGTACGCCTACAGCAAGCAGCAGCACCGACGGACAAAATCAAACCGCCGAGGCCAGAAAATGAAAACTTGAGCTGGCGCAGTGAAACTGCGATGTCGGCGGGCAACGGGTGAACGGCAATCTTCGCTTGAAGTCCTACCTTGGGCATGGATAGGCCGAGAGTACGAACGCTACAGGTGGCATGCTCTTCGACAATAAAAAAACGGGTTAGGGGTAGCGAGCAAGAATTACGACGCCACTGCTGTCGAGGAGGTGTCGATGGGGTCGTTTTTGAGCTGGATGAGAATGGACGTCATCCGGCTTGTGTCCTTGAAGTCCTCCACGACTTCGGACTGCGTGTCGACGAGGCTTACCACCCGTTCCCACGGGTTCTCGCTCTCGAGTTCCCCCTCCAGCTGCTCCAGGAAAATCTGCGTCAAGGTCAACAACAACAACATTGAGGACCGGAACGTGTAAACATAAGAGTGCGCAATTGATTGCTGACGAGGGGGAGCAGTGGGCAAGTCCAACAAAACAACTCCATTGCTGCAGATCACTCCTACTTTCCTGTGTATCCCCCTCGCCTTCAACGCGTTTCACCTACACTCATCACACACGATGAACATAACATTGTAGATTTCAAAATAAGCGGGAAACAGCTACACTCAAATCTAGAGTACAACCCCAACTTTTGAAACTAAAAAAAAAAACTACAAACAGCAAGAGGTAAGTCGTGATGGCGATGCAAGAATGTGCCCTTCTGCGTTGTTCCCGCTTAAGAAACGCATGTATAGGGAACATGTTTTCAGTAACGGCTGCTGCTCTCGCTTGGTCCCTGCTCTGCCTAGAACCCACAGCCAACCACGCACGCATGATGCATGATAAGTGAGTGTCTGCCTACGGCAACGTGTTATCGCGCGAGTTGAATTCTTTCTCGCTATCGCCCGATTTCCCTCCAACCAGACCGGGGTGAGCGATAGATGCAGAGAGGACAAAAAGAGAGAGGCGGACGGCGAGAGAGAGAGAGAGAGAGAGAGGGAGGGGGAGGTGGGGCAGCGAAAGAGGGGAAGGTAGACAGAAGAAGAGAGAGACACACACAGAAACAGACAGAAGGAGGGAGGGAGAAGGAAAAAAAGAGGGGAGAGAGAGAGATATTGACAGACAGACAGACAGAAAGACAGACAGATGAAAAGCACAGAGAGGAAGAGAGAGAAAGCGAGGGAGGGAGGGACAGAGACAGAGACAAACAAACAGAAGGACACAGACAACAGACATACAACAAAGACAGGACACTCGTTGGCGTCACACCCGTTTGCCACCGCCGCCGTCTTACCTGCTCCTGCTCCCTGTTCCGACCCATCTTGGCCTCCTTGTTGGCGGCTCTCTCCACCGAGTGGGTCTCGAGGTCCGCCTTCGCCGCCTCCAGCGCAGCTGCCTTGGCCTCGGCTTCTATCCTCGCCTTCTCCACGAGACCGGCCTGCCACCTCTCCATGAACTCACTTGAGATGGCGGCGGCGGCGGCGGTGTATCGCGAGACGAACAGGGTGCGGCGCAATTGAGTACCACGTGTTAACGAGGGGGTAAAGTTGAGACACCCAACCCGCGTACACTGCTTGCTTGAAACAGGTGTGTTGCATAGAGCAAAAACACAATGCAGGCGCTGTGAACTTTCCAGGATAAGGAGAGCGTGCAGATACCAGCAACAAACGCAAGTCGTGCTCCAGCTACAACTGGAATGGCCACTTCTACACATCCACAGTTTCAACATGTCGTTCGAAAAAAAAACCAGCGAACTCACTCCAGGGCGCTGGGCTCCACATCCTCGGGCGCCGGCATGCCCATGTCCGGCATCTCCCCCATCCCGCCGTTGCCGCCGCTGCCGCCGGATGGGTCATCTAGGGTCGCGTAGCCCTGTGTGTGACATCGCAGGAGACACAAATCAGCGTCAACGGGGTCATGCATTGGGCATGCAATTAAGCGGGCTGCCTGCTCGACTGCCGCCTGTGCTCAACTCAGACTCGACTTTTCCCGTCATACTTGTCAGCCACAGAAGCCAAAAGCAATGTCGGGAGGCCGACAACGTGGCCGGGGTGATCAAGACGAAGCGGCTAGTCGGCGGCCGTGTTGCGCGAACACAGTGGTAACCGCTGCCCAACGGAAGGTGCTCCGGATAATCCATGGACCGGGGAAAACCTGCAAGTCTCAAAAACACACTCAAGGCCATCGCAAGATCCTATACCACCACTTATCAAAGTAGCAGGCAGCACACACAACACGATTGATGCGCGAAGGATCTCGGAGTGAACAGAAGCCTACAACCTGACTTATCTACGACTCGCAACGCCCGCATCGTGCGTGGTCAGCGTTAAGGCCACGGGGTGGGGTGGGTAGAAACGGCGAACGTCGGAAAAACATGGGAGACGAAGAAGCAATTAGTGTGCCTTCGCGTCAGTACCATAACCCAGTAGTTAACTCCTGACAACACACACGCTGACAATACTCTAGCGCAGAAACGACACCGCCAGCGCGCGAAAAAATAAAACAATTGCTGTGCTCACCATATTGTCCTGCTGGAAGCCCATCCCGTTGTCGAAGCCGGTGCCGTTGGCCTGCGCCACCTCCCCGTTGGCCTGCTGGTCGAAGCCGCCCCCGTTGAAGTCTCCCCCGACGTAGTCGCCGCCGGTCGCGCCGTATTCGCCACCTCCCAGGTCACTGTAACCCCCCTGTTGCTGCTGGTTAATCAATCAGGAGAAACCGGCCGGGGGCGCGACCCAGAGACAAAAAACGACAGTGTCAACGGGCACTGGGTGTTTTTCGGCACAGACTATTGTTGAGAAGGTTTTCTACAGCAGTAGTGGGCACAACGCCGGATGAATAACGCCGGTGACCCTGTTGAGCCCAGCGCCGGTGGAACTGCTGGGCACAGATCGAATCACCAAGACACTCTATACTTTGAATAGCGACGAATGATTCGCCGGGCACATATCCGGACCGGCGTTATTGAGGGCCCACTTCTGCTGTGCTAGTCTACGCGGAGCACCCGAACGGTTTTGAAACGTCAACAGCACAACATGACCATCGGCCATCGAATACAACACGGCGTCGCTAATCTGCTGATGCTACCCATTGGTATCAGCGTCGTCACGTAGAGCGAACACGATTGTATCCTTCTCTACAACCCTCTCACCGACACGGGCGGCAGGCGTCCACTGCGGTACGCTCAAGGCTTGGATGAAATAATTACACACCACCTTAGGAGAAGTGACAAAATAGAGAACGTACTGAGCGTAGACCGGAAGTGTTTCTGAATGTAAACACAACAGCAACAGCAACAACGACAACCAGAACAACCGGGGAAGCCTTCGAAGCAGGCCGGTAGGGTAGAGTCACCCCTACAAACCGCTACACCGACCCAATACTGTTGTGCGCCGATGTTCGGGTGCTACACTGCTGTAAGTATTGCACTCGGGTGGACGAGCCCCTCGTTGCAAAAAAGTACTCTCACACACGCGACAAACGCAACCACGCTCTTCTTTCTCTCATCATCACACACGGCTGCTTAGGCGTTTGTTAGCCTCAACGGACAACGAGAGGACTTATCCTTTGAAGCAGCGGTGTTTAGACTCAACGACATCCATAGTTTGTGCCGCATACCGCACACCAAATCACAGCGTGTTGGGTGGGAGAGAGAAGAACGCGGAGGAACCAAAGGTACACAAAGATAAAGTTCTTTCCCTACATTTACACCCCGCCTGGGCTCTTTCGCGATCGCATTCCTAGAACCAGAACAAACACAGAAGTTGCTAGCTTCAGGCCTTGCAACAACAGCGGCGCAATACCGAAGCATAGGGTCGAAGCCTCACACGAAGCATTCCACTACTGCTGCACTACTGCTGTGCTGCTACTGCTGTACCTTACACCCATTTTTTTTCCAGCAGACAGCGACAACAACAACACCACCCTCAAAATTGGCGTACCTCTGGAGCGTCCTCTGCTCCTGTGAAGAAGTCATCGCCCCCGTCCATTTTAGGTAACGCGCACGAATCCCTACGACTGCGGCTCCTCCTCCTCCTCCTCGGGGGCGTGAAAAGGTCGTGTGCTAACAACGGGTCGAGTGTTGGGGCTGGGGTGTAAGCAGCACAGAGCGCAGCGCGCGTGGCACGGGTGCGGGGGCTCCCCAGACATTCTCTTAGCACTCTCTGCATTCGCCGGAACCCCCGGCGAACGCTCAGGACGCTGCTCTGCGGTGCGCTGATCGTGTTTACTCGTCCTTTTGTCTCCCTCCCTGGGAGAAAGCAAAGGTGGTTGGCACGCCCCGCCAACGCCACGAGGTAAGGCGTGCTCTCTAGTTTCGTTGTCGTTTCACCCTGTTATGCCCGTTGCCTCTGTGTGCCCCGACTGCACTTTCGGACCAAAAAAACACACGTATACACATATACATACCATACCGGGTGTTTTCGTGTGTTCCGTTCGGCTTGTTCGCGTCGACCGCTGTCTGTCTCCCTTGGCGACCCCAACACCCGGCAAATGAACACGTGAGACGTGAGAGCTAGCACCACCATAGAGAACGCCGTAGGAGTGATGAATGCTTGACCAGCGTGCTGCTGCTTTCGAGTGGAAAGAAAGACTTGGCAGCGGGCCGAACACAAGTCAAAAAGCCAGACCAACTCAACAGAAAAAAATTACTACTTGACTTGTCCAGCATGTCGTGCGTTCAGTGGATACCGGATACCAGATATCGATAACTGCGCTTTGATTGCGGTGTGATTGCGTATTGAGCACCGAGAATGTAGTTTGTGGACGGGTAGTTCAGTTTGTTGGCACGCACACGTGCCGCAGGGATGTAGGTGTACCTCTTCGGGCTTGCTTGTGTACCCTTGTGTTGCTAGTTTGCGTGTTCTTTAGATCTTCTGATGGCTCTAGCATTTTTGTGACCACGGACCGCGTCTTGCAAGATTTTGGGATTACATTGCACCTGACACGAGTTTAATGTGAAGACAACAACAACAACAACAACCGAGGGATACCTATAAAACACACAGGGAGCAGGCCAATCCAGTCCTGTCAACCATGAGTTACAGCAGTAGACCGTCTAGTTGCCCTAGTACTGCTGTATGGCTTTGATGATGATCGCTGTTTCGGGCGACCGGGGGTGTGCTTTCTTCTGACAGCAGAAGGGGGTGCCCGTACGACGCCGACGGCGGTGGGAGCGGCGGGATGGTTCAAAAATGGGCTATCGGCACGATGATCAACATCTCGGGGTCCATCGCCATCAACCTGGGCACCAACCTCATGAAGCTATCACACAAGGTGGCGTGATCGCTTGCTTTGCTGCCCTGGCGGGAAACCCTCGCCTAGTTCGACCAAAACGATGATCCCGCCTTCTGTTGGTCTTACGATTCCGCTGTTGTGCAGAAAACAGGGCATACTTGTAGAGAGTCGCAGTGCCCAGCCGGTTTTCCTCCGCTCGCTGAAAAGACTCCACCACATCCCGTCCGACTGTGGGTATATCTCGAACGGGTAGTCTTTCGGTGTGTGTATTTACTTTTATTATTACATGCAAGAGTCTCGTGTTTGCGGTCGGCAAATACTAAGACTTCATCATGCCTGGTAACAGGTGACACCTGGGTCTGGTGACATCAGCATGCTTCCAGTCGCACCCTTACCCTTGACACGAACCGCGGTTGGTTGCTGTTGTGCGTGCATTGACGTTTGTGTCTGCCGGAACATGAGCATCCCTTCCGAAGCGACATTTCGTTCGGCACCAAAGTCAGTAGCGAAGGTACACGTGCGTTCGCGTGCTCGTCGTTCTCCATTTAAGAGCATTTCGCCACTGCCGCCGCCGCCGCTGCTGCTGCTGCTGCTGCTGCTGCTGCTGCTGCTGCTGCGACACCAGATGAAGAAGGGGGAGTATCGACAACACGGCGACGACAATACCAGCAACAACGCCATTCGATCGGGCCTGAAGTCCTCAGACGACGACGACCTAGAAGCCGCCGAGCCCATGATAAACCGCGAGGCCAACGACTCCCCTCGCCGCCAGCAGCAGCAGCAGCAGCAGCAGCAGCAGCAGCGGCACTTTTTCCCTTCGTCCTTGAGGAGCGCAAAGGGGGCGCAGCACGGCGTAGAGATGACCGCGTATCCCGCAGACGCGCTGGTACAAGAACGCGGTGGACCTGGCCGAGTGCCGGATTCCGAGCCCATTACAAATGGTGGCGCGAGAGCAGGCGGTATTGGTAAGCTGCGAGGGGGTGGTGCTGGCGGTAGCAGCAGAGATTTGCGCGGGAGCGGGGAGGGACGAGGAGGAGCGGACGAGGAGGAGATGGTCGGACTGACGGAGGAATCGCTTACGGACTCGCCGTCTTCCACGACCGGGGTGAGCACGAGCTCAGACGACCGGGCCGCCCAGCATTCCAGGGGACGGAAGGCACTGGCCTCCTCCTCCTCCTCCTCTCCCGCGAAGAGACCGCCACCAAAGGGCGGCCAAGCCAAGGGGGCGGAGCCGCCGACAGGGGGCGGGGAGTACGACGCTCGCCCGGGCGTGAGAAAGCGGCCCCTGAGCATCAGCCCCAACCAAGACGGCGGTGGCGAGGAAGGGTTTGCCGAGAGAGGGGGCCTGGAGGCCAGCGGCGGCAGCGGCGGCGGCCACGGCCACGGCAGCGGTGCTTGGGAGCAGCAGCCGCCGCCCGAGTGGATGGCGACGGCGCTGTGGTACCTGGGAGCGGTGCTCCTGGTCGCGGGGAGCCTGGTCAACTTCGCGTCGTTCGGGTTCGCGCCGCAGAGCCTGCTGGCCAGCCTGGGCTCGGTGCAGTTCATCTCGAACGTAGTGTTCGGGAAGGTGATCCTGCGGGAGATGGTAACGAGGAGGATCATATTGGGCACGGCTACCATCATCCTGGGCAACACCCTCACGCTCTGCTTCAGCCCTCACCAGGTGTCCGTGGATTGTGGGGTGTGGGGTGTAGTGCAAAGCGGATCGGGTATGATTGATTGCCTAGGACGTTTGTACGTCGGTCTCAGCTCTAGCTGGCTTACGGGGTTCCCCAAGGTTAAGGTTTGGCGATACATATACAGCAGGAGAAGGTGTCTTGCGCGTGCGTGTGCATGTGCATGTTTTCCCTGCGCTCGTCGTCGCCTTTTGTCCGTCGCAGCAGCGCCGTCGCTAGGAGAGGTAGTGCTGCGTCTTCGACAGCTGCGGTCGTTCGGCGTGTTTCGGACTCGGACTCTTCGCTGCGCTCCTGATAACACGCAGAGTGACGAACACTTGCGGTGGTGGTGCCAGTGCCATCATAGTCACATTCGTCTGAATTGGGGGGTTTTGTCTGTGTAGCGTTTTCTTGCCTCCTCCCCCCCCCCGCGTTGCCCTTCCTTTCGAGGACGCGTGGTTAGGGCTGGTCCTATCCGGAATTGTGCACCCCGACTTGACACACGCAGACCAAAGAGTTGAGAGCGGAAAGAAATATTCACAGAGCTCTGGGAGTAGAATTGTTGCGGGCCTGAACGGCTTTTTTTGTAGCGAAGCCAGACCTCGAGTTTTGAGGTGAGTGGTCGGCACAACAACAGACAGGCTGTGGTTGAGGTGTTGAGGTGCTGGTTTGCAGTTGTGTGGAGTTGGGGAGACAGGGCTACGGCCAGTGAGCCCCTTGAGAGCTGCGCGGGCCAGACACACCCTTATGGCCAAAATCTGGGTGGGAGGGGCGCAAAGCCGCAGAAACCGGGGGCATATGCTTCGGTTTGCATCGTTTGTGGCACTGGTGGCAGCTTGCAGCTGCTGCCACTTGCCGCGCTGCTACTGGTCAGCATGCAAGGAGGGCATCATTTTCTGCTCAAGCGTTGATTGTGAGGCGTGTGTGGTGTGCCCAGTGTAGAGACTTTCCCTCGTGGTGTGTTGCAACGTCGCATGAGAGCGACATCAGTCGTGCACTCTTGGCCATATTACCTTCAACAGGCCGAATTTGGTTGCGTTTGGGAACTCTGGGTTGCGGTTTGGTAAACTTTGGTTTCAACTACATGATTGTTGATTTATGTGAAACGGTAGTACCCTTCTTCTGACCCAGAGCATAGCTTGGTGGAACTCAAGGTAAAAAAAAATAAACTGGTCTTGTCATCACTTCACCTAATCAAACGGGACTTCTGTGGATCTATATCTTCCTGTTCTAAATCTTGGTCTGGGTGTGAAGTCTGGGTGCACAAGCCCGGTTTGGAGTAGCCCTTAATTGTCTAACAGCTAAGGCACGCTAATCATGAGTATGCCCGCCCCCCTCATGGTCTAACGACTACGGCATGTGTCATGATGAGCACACACACACCCCGTCCCCCCACAAGTAGGAATGAACGATTGTCCATCGGTGATCGGTCCTGTGGGAATAATGCTCCGTCCTCGCGAGGAAGCGCGGTCAATGGTCTTAACCGCTAAGGCATGCAAAATACGTAAGAGTACGCCCCCCCCCCCCCC